TTAAAGATTAGGGATTTAGAAATCTTCAGCAGAAGACCCAATAGATTTAGATGGTAGTCTGATTTCTTTTATTTATTTATTTATTTATTTTTGATAAATCTTCAGCAGTAGCGAAGATGTTTGTTTGTTTTTTTTGTTTCTTGTTTTGTTTTGTTTGTTTGTGTGCTAAAGAAAACCTTCAATTTTATCTTTTCAATAAAGAAACCTTCAAATCCTGTCTTGTGTAAAGGATTCATTTACAACTTTTCTAATCTATTTCTTAGGCAACCCCAGATGCTCAGCCCTGCTAGGTATCTTTCAGACCTGACATAAACCACCTATTATGCTGAAACAATGAGCAACCTTGTTGCTTTTGTTATTGTCTATCTTTAATCAGATTCTTTAAAATTACACGTATCAAAGCTGCTTTACATTCTTTCAACCTTTTGTACTGAATTTTCTTTTCTGTTTTGTGCTCTTTCAGTGTTTCTTTTTGTTGGCATATTGCATTCTTTAGAGTAGACCAGATTAAATCGCACTTCAAATTCCACCCCTTACAGGGAACTGTGTGCATTTTTTGTTTATTGCAATAGCTGATGTCTGATTTTTATGGAAGCATGCTAAATTAAATGAGGTGTCGTGGCTGCAAAAAATAGATGAATAAAGCAGTTTTTGGACATTCTTCTTAATAGCCTAAATTATACACAAAAGAGTAGTAATTTTGGGTTTATAACAAATATCTGAAGTACAGCTTCTACTTCTTTTGCTTGTTATTACTGACAACAGCTAGATTTTTTGTAATATTTAGTTGTTACCTAAATAATGTATCATTCTAGTAGCCCAAGACCAGAAATGATCAACAAGATGAACCTGAATTAGCTAATAATACAATAATATAATGACAGAGAGGTGGTGATATGATTTCAAGTAATCTCGGTGGAAATTCCTGCTATTTGTGTCTTACCTGACTTTGTGGTGTAGTTTCTTAGTTTACTCATAAATAATTATAGATGGTAACAGAAAACATTTTTCCTAATATTTTGTGCTAAAAAATTGCATATATATGAATCTTTCATTCCTCCTGAAGAGTAATAGGTGATTGTAAGCTAAAAGATTGTGTAGTTTACAGTATTTCCTCCACTCGATAATGCTGTTTAAGTGCATCAGGCTTCTTATCAACTAAACCTGTAGATGGTCTGACTTTATAGCTGCAGTACTTTACTGCAATAACAAATATTAACAACTCGTCAAAAGAACCAAAACAAATATGAAAATGTTTTAAAAATGGATCACACCAAATTGTTAACATTTTAGTAGAGACGGTCTGCATAGCTGCGTCTCTGAGGCCCAGGTATGCTGTATGTCATTATTTGATCTTTTCAATTTTGCCACATTCTTCATTTAAATGGTCCATTTCCTGAACAGACTGCCAATTGAAATATATGTTTTTGAAACCAGAGCTACCAACACACTTTTTTTATTAAGACTATATAAATTTTAAATGATATAACGGAGAGTGAACAGCAACACCCAAGTGTTACAAATAAAGTATTTGTCCATACCTATTTGTTTGTCCAAACTCACATTGTTCTTCTCATATACCGTAACCATCTATTTCTTCTTTTTAGCCAATAAAATCATTAGTATCTCCTCATTCATGACCCATAATCACAGTCACAAACAACTCAGGTTGACCAGTACAGTAGTTTACCTCCCTTCGGGCCATAGACATAGACAGCCCATGTGAAAATATCCTTGCTTTAGCACAAACGTTGTTCCAACATGTGATGTGTAGAGTATTTTTTTTATCATTTGCAAACATTTAGAATCAACTTGCTGATAGTCCAGCCATGGTATGAAGTCTGAATACAAATTTCTGAATGCTGAATATTCAGTGTTTATTCATTAAGGCATAAAAAACCTTAATGGAAGTTTGGCTTGGCTCCCATGTACACTTCGCTTGTTGCAAATACTCAGAATTGCACATAAAATGTAGTCTGAAAGTCTGAGTGCACAACAAGAGCACATTTATTCCATCATTCATTTTCAAATGCTGTGTCTTGGGATGTTTTGCTTTACGCGAAACAGGAAAAGGGTATAAATATGCATTTGTTTGTTTTTCATGTATGAGATATCCATTTGGTGCTGCCTTGGTGAAAAGTCGTCAAAATTGAGTCAGGTTGGGATGAAGGAGAATGAGAAGCAGAAGATTTAAGCATTCTGTGGATTATTGAACTGATTCTGAAATTTCAGGTCAATCAAGGAGACTGAAAATGCAGCATACTTTTGCTTTGGGATCACATTACATGAATGGAATAAAAAGACAAGCTATAAAGCAGAATTTTGTTTTGTTTTGTTTTTTTAACCGCAACGTGTTCAGTGATGATAACAATTTAACAATTATTTTTGCTAAGAGTAATTGATATTATGTAATTGTTCACTTATCAAGAGAAAAAAAACACTTTGTTTTCAATGAATATTAAAAAAATGCATCTTAATTTGAAGAAGTTCATGCACCAGAAGTTCATCAACTTATTTTCATTAATTCATTAATGCTATTCATTGGTAAGTATTTTCTTCTTGCTCTCGCTACTGGACTTGAGGTCAGCATACATTCACTCTGGGTTCCTTTATACCTCTGTGTTTGCATGCTGACCATTTTCTTCGTCACTAAAAACTGTAATCAGCTATCTGCTCATCATACAAAAATTGAACCACCATTCTCTGCACCTGATTATAAAACATGCAAAAAAAAGATTGCCTCTTTTTTTTTAGAATCTCTGAAAAACAAATTTGTATATCAATCAACTTTTTAATTCTCAGCTTGGTCCCTGACTCTCTGGTTACCATCCCTCTTTTGGCTACTGTCCACCCAATTATACTTATTCCCCATTTTTAGTTTTATTTTAGTATTGTCTTCTCTTCCACCTTCAAATTGTACGACCCACTGTCTGTCAAGGTTCAGTTACAGCTGTCCGTTTCAAAATGGGCCTGTAGTGTGTGGCAGGGTTAGACCCTTAGTCTGGTATCTTCAGGTAGATCACTTTTTACTATATATCACTATGGTAGCCTATGCTCCACATACAGTATAACCTGCTCCAACTTGCTCTGTGTTCAAGCTCCAGGCTGAAAACCATTACCATTTTCCACAAATGGGAATGCAGTGGTTTTCTTTCCCCAGACATAAGACAATACGTTCTATTACTGTTTCATCAGTCCTCAAAACATTATTCCAAAAGCCTATCATTTCATTTTTAGCAGAAAACAGATGTGCACAAGTGCTTATTTGGGGACGCAGTGCTTTATTGTTGCTCAGTATTCTCACAATTATTGACACATGAACATTAGCAAATATGGGACAGGCTTGTAGTTCCTTGTGAACTCTTTCTGGAGTGGCGTTTGAGCGCTCATGAAGAGCAGATCAATAGTCTTGAATTTCCTTCATGTGTATACCCTGTCTAAGTGGAGTATTTATCAACTACGTGACCAGCCTTCTCCTTTTTCTCCATCATGGTATGAAGCGAAGATCAAATTTTATTAGATCCTTCTTTCTTAAATAAAAATGGTTTCCTACGAACAGTTGCCACTAGTGTCATTGAAAACACCTAATTCTAATTTAACCAAACATACTGATAAATCTGGGATTCACTTATTATGGCCCTTTGCAAACGTGAAGTGTATAATTATTTTTCTTAGGTAAATGAACAAGTGTAATGGTTTCATATAATTTGATTAATTGGGTTCTCACAATTAACTTTTAGGACTTTAAAATATGATGTTTCAGGTCATATTTCTATTTAATCTTAAAAAACAAATGAAAAGGGAAAAGGTGAAAAATAATTTGTCACAAAACATGGCTGGCTTGAAAGTATACATATCAGCTGATGTAGTAACTACAGCTTGTCGCATATTACATCCAGCAGTTTATGAGAAAAAAAAATCTAATTAAATACTGAAATTGCATATCTCAATACTTATGCAAATACTAAAGCAAGTGTTTACACTTACACACAAACTTGAGCAGGACTGTATCTACTTACAAGCTATGCTTGGCCACATAAGGGCCACATAAAATTGAATTAGAAAACCCACACAAAGAAATCTCTGGCTCTTTGAAGATAAATTCTAGTGTGAATGGTTATAGAGATTTATACACAAGCAGCTCAACTCTTAACCCCAGGTGATTTAACTTGCCAGTGCCCCTCAGTACAGGTGAAGTAATTGAGTAAATAGAAAGGCTATGAATATATTTCCATCTTATCTCCGCCCATAATTTTCTTTAGAAAGCTTACCTCAGCAACTTGTGTTGGTCACAATGAAAACTGTATTGGCAGTGGGTCATGCTGTGTATGCACATCTCTGCCTGCTTTTCAAGATAAGAGTGATTATGAAGTGAAGGGTGGCATCAGATTTCTGCACCATCTTCTGTTCTCTTCTCTGCTCTAGTCTTTGATGAGACTGCACGAATTTTCTGAAGGTTTCAAAAAGAAGCAGGGGGAAGCATTAAAGCCACTTGCCTATTCTTCAGTAGAATCACAATATGCAACCAAAAGACTTTTGGTCTCTTGAAGTATAGCAAGAAAAATAAGTTACAAGGGTAACTTTTTTGCACATCCAATGGATGCATGACTAGGCTGACATCTGGAGAACTGAAAGGACAAGCCAGCACTTCAGTTACAATGGGCAAGTTACACAGTTACAATCCTTATCCATTTTTGCCCTCCAACACATCAACTTCAAGGAATTCTTACTTATGTGGCTGATATGTTTAATGACTGTCTGATGTAAATGATGAAATATGCTTGATATGGCCTCCTATTTACACAGTGTTGATCAGGGTGAACTATTTTGTTGTTGTGTTCAATCCTCCAAAGATATCAGTATGTAACATTTTAATGCAGATATTTGTGCCGTTGTGTTTTTTGCTTTGTGTTTTTTTTATGCCTGAGGGTGAAAACACATATCCTCTGTGTTTTTCTTCCTTTTTATTATACCTGTTTGTTTTTCCATTTTTGTTCTAGATGGGAAATGCCTCCGAAACATTTCTGTTCATGTCTAAAATATCAAAAGACAATGACTTCATCATGGGAACTCTCTACACCATTTTTGGTGAGTGATTTATCCCCCCCAAGGTCAATCCTTTTAATAGGACTCAAATTCTTCAGCTCTTTACATTATATTGCTCTGTTTCCTAGGTGTGCTGTCGGTGCTTGGAAATGGCATCCTGCTGTTTGTGGCCTATAGAAAGAAGTCCTCCTTAAAGCCAGCAGAGTTCTTTGTGGTAAACCTGTCCATCAGTGACCTGAGCATGACCGTAACCTTGTTTCCATTTGCAATACCTTCAACCTACACACACATGTGAGTGACAATTCAGGTTTTCATATTTTTTTCAAATTTCATCTAGGCCTCTTTTATGTCATCTTCACATTTTTATTTTCATGAGAGACAAGGACAGAAGGAAAAAGACAGATGAAGAGTGAGGTTAGAGGAGTGGTTTGAAAAGCAAGGCTGTAGCTGCTGACGAAAACTAGGGCTTTAACAGCCTGAGCAGTAGTTTACGACATGCATTAAAAGACAAATTAAGGTTTTGTAAGCAGATGCTTGCAGACATAAATTTATCATATTTGATTGTTTGTTGATACGACAGATGAAATACAAATAAAAGCATTTTTAAAGGATTTTGTGGTTTTTCCATTTGTATAAAATGGAGGTGGAAATATACTATCATGCTAGATTTGCAACACATTAATGGTATATCTGATATTGTCACTTTAATCTTTCAGAGCAATGTCTTCAGTGTCTTCAACAATTTGAAAAAACTGTTGAAATTTTAAAAAACCCTCCACATTTATGAAAACATTGATATTCTAATTTTGAGATCCTTTTTGCTTGTAATTCTTGCTGTGTGCTCATAGCATAGACCTTGGGAAGAAGCAGTAAGTGATTTCTGACTTTTTGGCCAGAGTTTTGCCTCTGAGGCTTTACAAGGTTGTTGAGCCCAGCTGCAGCCTGAAAAGATGACTACAGATGCTACTCAAGGTTGGAAAAAATGCTGAAAAAGACACAAGTAGCATATCAAGGCCCTGTGTAGTGCAGATGAAAAGCCAGCATTTTCACTTTAACTCTGTGTGAAGTTTCCAGGTGTATGATTTTAAGTAGTATTTGTGCAAAAAACAATAAACAATGCAAATGTCTTTTTAATTCCACTGTCATTGAGCTTTGGACAATAACATGTTTCCTATTTTTGTAATATTTTCTTTGTGTTGCACTGATAAAAATGTTTTAGATAATGTGGAAAGCATTTATGTCTCCTTTGTTCAAGCAACCTACATAATACCTTCGTCTGTCTTCTGTCTCTTCCTATGATTGTCTGCCTGCTGTCTTATTCTCTGACCATTTGCTGCTGATAGCTGTCATATGCACCACTATTGGGTTAGAGTGCTTCACCGCATGCTACATTTGAATATGACTCAGGAGACCAGAAAATGTATTGCAGTCTCATTGACTGAAATTCACCAAAGGGAATTTGCAGGCAAACCCTCACTTAATATCACACAGTAACACATGTTCTGTTTTCTTTCTCTTCTCATTCAGGTGGTTGTTTAATAAGACAACCTGTACTGTGTATGCCTTTTGTGGTGTTTTGTTTGGCCTGTGCAGTCTGACCAACCTAACGGTGCTCTCCTGTGTCTGCTGGCTCAAGGTCTGCTGTCCTAACTACGGTAACAACACCAGTTTTTAATACTTTACATTGCAATTCAGCATAAAGTTATTATCATAATAGTGAAACAATGCACTATTTTAACACTAAGGAATTTAGTGACCCACGAGAATGACCCAGACTGAGGCAATGAAGAAAATCAAAGACATGGTTGTTTAGGGTTATTGCGAAACCAGTGAAATAAGATTCTGTGTGATCCCAGTGAGTTTGCTTGAAATGTAATTCCATTATTGGTTGTTTTCCATGAATGATCTACAGAAACCTTTTAGCAAGTTTTCAGGTGTTTTCCAGTTAACATTTTTTTCATTCTACAACTCATTTTGAATCACAACCAAACTTATGCTCACTCACTCACATGAACTACTTTGCTGTGTCAAACTGTTTCTGTATGGAAGTTCTCAGGATGCAGTTGGCATAAGATGCAAGTGTCCCTGCCTCTTTCCAGTATCACTTCACAATAATTATTTCATGATGCTTTATATTGTAACTAAACACTCTACAGTATTATTCCAAGGCCCCCCAACAATCCAACTATCCCGGCAGCCACTTGGCAGCAATGGGAATGAAGAACTCATTTTAACAGGAAGAGACCTCTGGCAGACCCAGACTCAGGGAGGGAGAGCTATCTGCTGTAGCCATTGGGGAGTATGAGAAGAAGAGAGAAAGAAAAGCATAGAGAGACAACATACACTCCAAACACATACACATTGCAGTGCATCAAGTAATATCATTTTGTTAGATGCAGATAACATCACAAACAAACCCAGAAGGTGTTTTGTTTTGTTCTTTTATTGTTGTCGTTGTTGTTGTTGTTTTTTAAGTGGCTGCCAAAGCAGCAGCATTATTGGATGTTACTAGAAAAAGTCTGCATTGAGAGGAGTGGTGGTGGAGTATGCAAGTTTCTTGTTTATACTCCTTTTGGATATTTGAGTTTGGAGCTTTGGTTTTGTTTTAACCCTTTTATTTGTTTCATTTGTGGCTTTTTTATTCTCTTGTGTGGGTTCTCTCTGGCTTCTCTCACAGTCCAAAGACATCCAATTATTGGGGTCAACTGGTAAATCTAAATTGCTCATAGGTGTGAATGTGAGTGGTTGTCTCTACTGTAGACCAAGACAAGTTACTGTTTCAGAAGGGTTTTTTTTTCTTGTTCTGTATCATGCATCCCCAAAGGTTCTGTGTGATATATGTATATGTTTAAATTATGAATAGTGTGGCCCTAACAACATGTCCTAAGATTTTGTTAGGGCCACTATGCAAAGTGATATTATTCCTGACACTGACAGTTCTCATAAATGTCACTTTTAATCTCATAATCTAACTCTATAACTTGCTTATATAGATGTGAAATTATATGTTGTACAAGCAGCTACTGTGTACTGTAACACAGTACACAAGTTTAATAAATGAATAGGTCACCTGTCCAGGGTGCACTCCTCCTTTCACTCTATGGTAGCTCTAGCCACAATTGGAAAAGTACACATTTACCAACAAACTAGGCACTTTACAAATATTATGAGTATTCTTTTATTGACAGTAATTATTTTGAAGTTTGGCTTTGCCCATATTGATCCTTGTTAATAATGGTGTTTGTTGCCCCTTCTTGAAGGCAAAATCCTTGATTCTGTAAAAAGAAACTAATCAAAGTACACCAGCAACTCAAGAGTTCATTACACAGTGTAAGGGGGTATGCTGCAGTAATGTTAATTTTCAAGGCTATAACATCTTGCAGCTGCATCATATTTATTGAAGAAGATGTTTGTTGGGCCTTCAAATGTTGCCCATCTTTAAACATGTATTTTCCAACAAGGTCTTATACTTGAAAAATATACAGTTATTCACAATTTATTGGCAGCATGCTTAGCTACATTCTTGTAGGGATTACTAATAAATTCAGAGTTGTGTTGGTCTTTTACAGGATAGTACAGTACTGAAACCTGAGTCATTTTCTTTTCCTAGAAGAGATGGGCACCAATGTCCCCACTGTTGCTTCATCAGTTCACCTTCCTTGGACCACATTGCATTTTAATTTTAACACTTTAGATGTGATTGAAACTTTCAGCTTTAATTTAGAGGGTTTAAAAAAAGTATTTCATGAACTTATTATTCCAAAAGTTTGAAAATTTAAATTTGAAAATTTGATATTGAAAATTCTAGTGACATATTTCCACTGGAATTCTCAATAAACAATCCCAAGAGTTGTCGATATAAGTGACAGGGGTTATCTATAGGTTGAAAAATCTAAATAAACCATCAGACAACCAAAAGGCATGAGAGACCACAGAAGAGAACTAAAGTGTGTGATGACAGAATTATTTCCATGGTTAAGAAAAACTCTTCCATCTCCACGGTGGTTTGCGTGTCATTGTCAAGGTTTATAATCAAGATATGTCTATAGTCAATATATGTCTTCATGACTAGATGACAAGAGGGTTTCCTCAAGGTTTATATTGGTAGTTACACTGAAGATTATGAAGGCCAGAAGTAGCTGTACTATTTTAATGGTTTTGTTAAGCCCTTGAATTAAAGCTGAAAGTCTGCGCTTTTGTCACAATTTATTTAATCATCCACTCTGGTGTGTACAAAGACAGAAATTACAACGCAAAATGTGTCATTGTCCGAAAACAACTAATGACTGCAGCTTTAGCAGCAAGAAAGGCTTCTATAGATGAATTGAATGAATCCAAATAATTTTAATACATAAAAGTTTGTGTTTCCTGTCATTCACTGTGTGTTTTAAAATGTTAGTTGTTCACATGTGCATTTTTACCACTTCAAATCAGTATCAACAAAGACATCTTTATTCTGGGTTAAAAATCAAGGTGTTGATTCCTTGATTTCAACCTTTCAAAACTCTCAGTGCTATTGCTATGCGAAGCTTCACTAATCATACTTCTACTCACCTTCTTTTATTTGTGGGTTTGCATCCATAGTCTAAAAATCTCAAGGTTAGGAGTTTTAGATAAAATTCCCATTGAGTTCAGATAGAATAATGAGATTTTTTCCAGTCACAACTAAAAGGGTTCAGCTATTTGCTAATTAGCAGCAGTAAAAGAGTAAAAGTAGACTGGTTATTGAAAAAATGACCAGATTTAGAAATGCTAAAGTTTTAAAATTAAATTCTAAAAAAAGGAACAGAATTAGGCAAGAGAAACATTTATTGCAACATTCATGTTTGTGTAGTTGGGTAGTTTAAACCAGTTAAAATGTCATTGTGTCATATATATTAATTATTCACAGTTAGCATTTTGTTTTTAATCCTGGATTTTACCTCTGTAGTTCTCACCATCATGCTGGCGTTTGTACTGCTACAAATCTGATGGTAATATGGTGCCCTTTCCTCTTGAATCCATAGAAACCAAGGGTTTTATGGGACACTATAAACTGGGGGAATTCTGCTGCCGCACTCCTCCTCAAAATGTTAAAAAGCACAGTTACGTTTTGTGGGCTCTGATAATTTGTTGTTCTACACAGTTGTCTATGACTAAGCCAAACCAGCACAAATAGCTGATTCTGGGTCAGTGTAACATTTCAATACACTGTTAGCACATCCAAAAAGCACTGAATTCATGGTTGATAAAGGTTAATTTTCAAGACTTATCATTTACTTGTATGTGCTTCATTAAACCATCCTTTTCTTTAATATTTGAAACTTTGATAATCCGAAGCAGCACTTGACTATAATTCATAATTTATAATTCATAAATCATCATTTAAAAAAAAACACTGAATATGCAGGCATAAATTAATTGATAACCTGTAATTAAATTTTAATTTTGAACCCTTATTACTATTCTCACTCGATGAATGGGTGTGCTGATTAAGTGCCAGATTTAAGCAATATTCTCATTTATATCCTTTGCACACTTGCCCATACACACTGCAGGGATCACAGAACTGGGGGCTGCATCAATCATCTTTATAGTCCACTAGGTAAAACCCTGCCTAACAGGCATGTTCTAGTACTATAATATAATAGGAAAGCAGGTCAAGCTGTTCAAGAAACAAAATCAAAACAAATGGAAAAAAGAGCACAGACAGCACAAAACTAATGTAGTGCTGCCGGATGAGTTATGAGATGCAGGTGGAGATTATATACATCTAATGAAAAGTGTCCACTTACAGTATATGATGCAGATATTTCAGGATTTGTCCTAACTTTGGCTAATAGGCACATTATAATTGAAGGCTGTGTTATGAAATAGCTCCTCTTGTCTGTTTTTTAGTGGCACGCAGTCTATAATGCAGAGAATAAAAGCCAAGGGACTACAAGCTTCACAAGCAAATGTGTTTGAAATGCAAATGAGCACAAATAATTACACTGTCATATATTTTTTCCTGCAAGAAACTTTGTACAAATGTGTTGTTTTCTTGCTTTTATACACTGTTACACAGCCCTCCTAGTCAAACAAGCACACAAACAAAACAATGTGGATGTTTGGATCCAGACAATAATTGCAACCATGCAGTTACTGGAGTTTCACACCAACTTATACCATCTGCTAGCAGAAGGTTAGACCAAGAATAAGTGTAATTTGTTGAATCAGAGCAAGCCTCCAACATATTTGCGCCTCAGAAATCCTTGGCCTCACGCTACTTTATGTAAGAATTTTTCTAATAGCTTCCAGACTATAAAAGGGAGAGTTGTGGACTTTCTTAGAAATAATATTTCCTTGATGTGCCACGTGGATAGCTGGAGTTCTGATTGGGAAAGGGGTGGCCAAAATCAGATAAAAGCCAACTGTAATTGCTGACACAGTTGAGTGAGTGCCTTGGGGCAAAATGACCTCCCCCACCATCAGCTTGAACCATAAAAACGGGCTGGCATCCTGCTGAAGGGGCTGTGTGGTGTCATGAGTAAGGTTTCCTCTGTTCTCATCTTCAATTATTACCCCTTAAATCAACTTTAGAAGAGTGTTGCCAGTAGTGATGTGCGAATCGATACTGAAATATCGATTCCTCCGATACCAGTCATTTATGTTCTAGAATCGATTCTCATATTAAAATATCGATATTTTAGTAATTTAGGGTAAATTTGTAGTTTATCTTTAACAGGAACACAGTGGAAACGATATAATTGTCTACTTTTGAAGGAACTACTTCCTTCCTGTTTCGCCTTTCATAGTCATGTGCGAAATACGGCTGTATAAATGTGTCGCAGCCCCTTGGCGTGCGCACTCACAACAATGGCTGAGAGTAAATGGAGTCATGCGTGGATGTATTTTACCTCCACAAACAGCCGAGACGTGGTTTGCGATACATGTGGCAAGACAGTGAGGTGTTGTGGCAACACCACTAACCTCGTCAAACACCTCACAGTAAATCATATCACAGAATATGACGAGTGTATGTTGAGGCGAACTGAAGAGGAGGAGAGGGACAGGTGCTGCTAGGGCGAGACAGACGTCTCTCACGGAGTCCTTTAGTGCTGCAGGCAAAATTTTCAAATAGGCACAACTTCAGTTTTTTTTATTTCTATATGATAATTCTGCATTATTAAGCGATAAGAACAAGTAGTTTGATGTCCCGTAATCATTATGAAGCTATAATTTGAGATACAATAAATAAAATAAGTTTTTGTACAAAGTATCGGTATCGGATCAGTATCGCCGATACCACCCAAGGAAATCAGTGGTATCGCACATCACTAGTTGCCAGGGTTGTTTTGGCATTTTTTTCTGAGCCCCTTATTTGCTGGATAAGTGCAGTACTACTTGTAGTATGTTAATAAATCACAGTGTATCTTAAATGGAGCCTACTATATCTTCTTTATGTCCTTATCTGTTGATAATCAATTCTAAAACTCTTTTCTCTTGTCCTCCCTCTGCCTTCTTACACTCTTCTTTAGGTAACAAGTTTTCATATGTCCATGCATGCCTGCTGGTTGCAGGCATCTGGTGCTACGCTGGAGTCTTTGCTGTCGGTCCCCTGTCGGGCTGGGGAGAGTACGGGCCTGAGCCTTATGGTACAGCATGCTGCATCAACTGGCATGCGCCGAACTATAATTCTGCAGCTATGAGCTACATCGTCTGTCTCTTCTTCTTCTGCTATATTTTGCCCTGCACTATAATTTTTCTTTCCTACACATTCATCCTGCTGACTGTCCGTGGCTCACACCAGGCTGTGCAGCAGCATATGTCCCCACAGAACAAGATCACCAATGCACAAACGCTTATCGTTAAGGTACGTGCATTATTTTCTTTTCAAATGACTTATACTAAATATTATTTCCTTCATGAATTCATGTTTGCATTGCATGTTATTTGCTGTGTTATGTCTATTTTTAGCTTTCAGTGGCAGTTTGCATCGGTTTCCTGACAGCATGGAGTCCATATGCTATTGTGTCCATGTGGGCAGCGTTTGGTAACTCAACAACTGTACCACCTATAGCTTTTGCTGTGGCAGCTATCTTTGCCAAGTCCTCCACCCTTTACAACCCTATCGTCTACCTGGCTTTCAAGCCCAATTTTCGCAAGTCCTTGTGTCGAGATGTGGCGAATTGCAGAAGGAGACTCTGTGGATGTTTGTGCCAGGGTGGCTCTGCAGAGAAGGGAATTTGCAGGCAGTCCCATCACAAAGAAGAATGCAACTCTACAAGGTTATCCAATGGGTTACCAGAGAACCACAGGACCTGCAGACACTGTCCTTGCCCAGAAACAGACACCGGCAATAGAGAAAATTGTATAGACTACAGTCCTCAGCAAACCGCCAGGATTCTTCAAGGATCCGTACACAGTGAAGTGGCTGTCAGCCAGCTCTCCAATGAGATGCAGAGTGACTTTCTCTAGAGGAACAAGTGGAACTAGACAACAAGTCACTGTAAAAATGAAGTATGAAGCAAAAAGTGGCACGAATGAACCCCAAATAACAGTAAGTGCAAGTTGGGGGGAAAGTGAAAATGCAATCAAACAAACAAACAAACAAAAATGGTAAGACTGATTTAAAAGAAAAAAAAAAGTTTAAAACTACTTTCATGCCTCAAATATGTGACACTGCCAAAAAAAAAAAAGTGGTTAAAAGCCAATACAGGAGGATAAGCAAGCCAAACATTTCACTGGTGTGTGCATCAGCATTTTATCAGGTCAAATTAACAAGTGTCAGCAACTATCTGATCAGTTCAAGTGTAAACCAAGACTGAAGAGTCACCATGCAAGTCATTTTACCCTGGACTTGGAGGGAGGAACTGACAATGAAACTTCCTACTCCCTGAACCACATTTTATCTGTTTATTACGAGTACTGTATTTAAATATTATGTATTTATGTATGCCTCAAATTGAAGGACCACAGGGTTATTGTTATTGTTGTTGTTGTCTTTGTTGTTGTATCTAAAATGAAAAGAGTGCTTTCACCTCATTGTCGAGGAGAAATCAAAACCTCTACTCCTATAGTTAAAGCAGACACTTTGGGTGTTAATACAAAGCACTTAGGGAAAGATTTGGCTTGGTGAACCACCTTTTTGTCCAGAAGGTATATCTGCAGGGAGGAGATGTTGTCTTCTATTTCCATTTTTCCTAGTCACCTCTGTCCAGGCAAGAAGATCTTGATGGAGTGGAGAGTGTCAGCTGTTTAGGCATTTCAGCCATTTTTTATAGTAAGCCCTTTTTCAGTGACTCAAAAGTAATTGGACTAACTAACATAATTTTATTGTTTTCAATACTTCGATGAAAATACGTTGCAGTCAGTCATTGCCTGAAATCTAGAACATGGACGTCACCAGGTTGTTGATTTCACCGGTCCTAATGTTTTTTCTGATATGTCCGTGTATGTTCTCAGTAATCCAGGTCATGGTAGTCAAAGGAGATTGGAAAGAAAGCAACTGGACTTCTTTGTGAAGGTCTTTCACCTGTCATCCAAGATGCTTCTTCAGTTCTGAAGTTCAGAACTGAAGAGGTGAAAAGTCTTCATGCAACATCTTCACAAAACTTAAAGAAGTTCAGCCACTTCCTTTCCAAGCTCCTTAGACTATCTCTCTGATAGATTTTCTATGACTTTTTAGCCTAATGCACAATGAAAATATCAACATTTAGAGTGAACAGCTACCAAAAAGCATGTTCAGCAATTAACTCCAATTCTTTCATCAGTTTTAATTTGTCGTAGAGTAACGATGGAACAGGTCTCATCTGGGCATGAAACCTTTTGACAGTAAATCGTCCAGTTACATTTGAGCCTCTAAAATTGAGGGACATATAAAATTGAAAAAAATAAAATAAAATAAAATACAATACAATAAAAATGACTGTAATTTATGAACTTAAACTTTAGGTTATTGCAGTTACTTTTGTTAAACTTCTTGTCTGATTTAAAACTCACCGTGATGGTGTGCAGAGGCAAAATTGCCAAAAAAAAAAAAGAAAACACTGTCCAAATACTTATGGACACTACCTGTTTGTGATCAGAACTACATTGAACTCTGTCAGTGATTCTCTTTGGGTGGTTTTAGCAGATTCTGAAGACCAGTTTGAAAGAGCAAAAAGAAATTTCTTTGTGCAGAATTTCTGCTACAAATGAATTAGTATCTTTTATGACATTAACTGTGGAAAAGACTCATTAAAAGGCTGATTGATGATTTATTTATCTTGAATTCCGAGCCTGGGATTATAAGGTTGCCTTTGGCGGCAGAGCTGGGTCATATTTTCATTCTTTTCAAAAGGAAGAAGAAAAAATAAATAAATAAAATGAAAAAAAAAAAAACACCTGCAGCATTTAGAACTTAGAAGCTTCTTTTTCATATTTTGGGTTAGGATTTTTTTCATGTTACAGAAGCATCTCTACAATGAAGCCCAACTAGCCAAGGAAAAAGTGAGATGGTTATTTGGTTTAAAACAAGCACTTTAGGAAAACAAACTTTTTCATTAACTTTGGTTGCCTTAAGGCTTGGAAAGAGGCTTTAATTAGGGTACTAAAAAAATGCTGTCCTGTTCCAAATTTCCGCAAATAAACAGGTTAGTGTGTTATTATTACTGGCTTCACTGAGCACCAAACCTATGAGACTAAGACCCAAAATTGTAATAAAACTGAGCGATCTTTTAATCAGAGCCATGTTAACAAAATGGGAGAAAAAAGCCTGCCTGTGGATAGAACGCTTGCCTTTAGTACTTCTTTTGCTTGTTTTTAATGTGAGAGACACAAGGCTTTGCCTCAGCACCTATCAACATTATTTTAATTAAAAAAAAAAAAAAAAAAAGCATAGTGAGGATGGATGAGGTTAACTGAAATGTTTGTCCAACAAGCAATTTTATACCCCCTCCCTCCCGACAGCATAGGCCATCAACTCAAAAGTACAAAACGACCTGCCATGGGCAAAATTAATTAGATGTGCTGGAGTGCAACTTGTGATTAACTGGCATGACTTTGATACCACAATTCCTTTCTTACAGAAAGGCTGAGACCGAAGACTGCAGTTCTGTGCAGTTTACACACAAGCGCACACACACACACACAAAAACTACAAAAGCATTTTAGATTTTCTGCTTTCACGTTCAGTTTGGCATGGCATAATTAGCTTAAAGTCATGCAAAACAACCAGGTCAGCACATGTGGTGCATTCTGCTGTTTGCTACAATAACTCCTCTAGCCTCAGTCAGGACCGTTTATGGAGAAATGGATTCAAAATTACTAATACCACCTGAACTATAATACTCCACATGGGCTTTTCACAAGACACTTAGCCCTGGGCTTAGACGCTTGTTAGGTCAAGGCTTATTTCTCAGTTGTGAACTTAAGTTGTGTTCAGGCTGACATTAGCACTGCTCAGTTTGCTGAGGCTAGAACACTGATACGTGGGAGATTCAGCAGAATTATGTACTTCTCTTTTTGGTGTTGTGCGTGTAAAACTTTGTGTTGAGGTCTATTGAATATGAAAATGAATATGCACAGCCGCACACAATATTATTCAAATGTGGACGATGCTGAAAACAGCAGCTGCACAGTATTACCTCACTTGCTCTGGCACTGTGCACAGGCAGTAAACTGTATAACCTTGGACGAGCCAGGAAAGAAAAGGAGGGGGAAGTCCAATTTATTTTAAGCAGCTTTAATAAAATTGTCCCAAAAAACACTGCCAAACTTATTAACTATTTCAAAATCTAGGAATTTTTAAAATATTAGCAGAATTCTAAAAACACGTATGAGCACTGTGAATCCAGGGAGTCTGAAATAAATTAAAGTAAGTCATACTTACTTATATATGTCACAGATATGAACGCGTGCCACATTCTCCACCTTTAAAGAAATTACTTCTGCAAAGAAAAGACACAAGTTAGGGCAGAATAGTGATTAAATGTGATAACTCATTAGATTCTCATTAAATATGTGACAGCAATACAGAATATGAGAGAGGTAGGTTACAGAAGCATGTCTCATAGCGTTGCAGTTCTAACTTTTGTCTCGGTGTTAGGAATTACTTCACAGTGTTTCGCCATCTGACGGAACTCATCTATTACTTAAACCAGCTTTGCATGAATATGTTACTCAATCAGATCCACTACTGACTTTATGATTAGTTTAGTTTTATTTATTAGTTAGTCACATCTTATTAGTTTATTGAATATATAATTTCCTACAATATTCATTAACTACAATGTCATTAAGATAAGGGAAGGCCATAAGTATGATTGTATCCATTTTGGTTATGCGACTAATCAAAGCTAATAAGGTCAACACTTTCTGCATCGCATAAAAACTCTCTCCTACACGACACTAAAGATCAGTCAGGAGGTACTTTATTGCGATATGATACTAGGTTGGTGCGTCTTCATCCTCATGCAACACACCACCAACAGTGCAGCCTTTTGCGTTTTCTACTGCAGTGCTGTTTTCTGGCTGAACACCAAATGACAGCTGCTTCAGTCTCTAAAGTGGGATAACCCCAGGCAACCTTCAGCTCAGAGTTTACAAAGCCCAGATCTGTAGTATTTGCTGTAATATAACTCTGATTGTTCTTAAAACTATTTTATGAGGTTTCACGAGAATAAAAACAATGGAAAATCTCGAGTCTGACCATATTAAAAGAGTTACAGTGGGGCAAAAAAGTATTTAGTCAGCCACCGATTGTGCAAGTTCCCCCACTTAAAATGATGACAGAGGTCAGTAATTTGCACCAGA